CTGCCCTTAGGTCAAAGCTCTCTCTGAAGGCAACTGGGTGGGCTGGGAGACTTTAAGCAAGACCCTTCCCTAGTGGGGTCTCAGTTTCCCCTAAGTGAGAGGAGGATCAAGGCTGAGACTTCTTGCTGCTTGTGGCCTTGAGCCAGCTCTCAGGCAACAAAGCCAGGTTCACCTTGGAGCGAATTAACTGAGCTCAGTCCAGTGTCAGTCCCAGATGGAGCCACACAGACCTCTAGTTGCCTTGGCCAGGTGAAGCCCACGGGAATCTGTGCCCAGGTCAGGCCGGTGCAGTCCTTGGCTAAATTTTTCCATGTGCTCTTTCATGAGAAATGCACAACTGATGTTTTCTTGTAGGGGCCAGAGGAGCATTTTTCCAAGTTTCTTGGCAGTACATGTTGGAGCTCTTTGACTCCCTGGGGCCTTAGCAAATGGAAGGAGGTTAGATCTGATGGGCCTCCTGGCCACTGCTTTCCCCCAGAGGGAAGCTGTTTGTGGCTTCCTGTGTCCCCAGTTACCCCCTGGTGACACTGCAGGGCCCACAGCTCCTGGCCCTGCTGCCTGGAGCTCTTAGGAGTTGGAGCTACTTTTAGCAATATAATCAGCCCCCTCCCCAGATGCAGGGGTTTCTCTGCCCAGGAAACAAAAGACTGGAAAGTTAAAACAAACCCTCCTCCCCTCTTTCTCTCTCTCTTTCAATCCTGGGTAAAGAACTTAGGGCATCTCTCTCAGGAGGCAAGGGCTGTACCACTGAGCCACACCTAGGCCTCAAGGGGGGGGAGATTAATGACTCATGACTTCTCAGAGCTGTGGAGACCACTGGGCCTGAACCAGGACTGTCTATAAGAGTTATCTGGGGAGCTTTTAATAAAATACCAACCTCTTGGCCCCCTTCCAGAGTAATTAATTCAGAGCTCTAGGGGTGGAAAACAGTATCACTATTTTTAAAGATCTCATTTCTGTGCCTCCGCACAAGAGCCCCAAGCCATCCTGCTGACAGTGTGAGCTCTTGTGGAGTTAATAATGACCTTGGGCCTGAGTTAAACTCAGGCCCATAGGACAGTCCTGGGCTGCACGGTCCTGAAAGCCAAGCACTGGAAAAATGCAATCATCCAGTTGTTTGCCACTAGCTGCGGTCATTGTGCATATGGGTAACCAGTGGCAATGTCCCCTAGCACAGCCGTGGACAGTGAGCTGGGAGGGAGGGAGGGGTTTCTGCTGACTGATGTCAGGGACTCCCAGGCCAGATAAACAAAGGGTACTTGGGCAGGGGCAATCTGTGGAACTTTCAATTCATGGGTATGCTTGAAGTCTGACAATGTAAATTGCTGCCATTCTTTTAAAGACACAATATTTGTGTTTTACTTTCATAATATTTGTACATAATTTATGGGATATGATATGGTTCAAACCCTATGGTGGGTACTATCTATGTATATATACATATATAATGAACAAATAAAAATAATTAACATACCTATCATTTTGTATTCTTCCTCCCTTCCTCATTTTTGTTGAGTACTGGGGCTTGAACTCAGGGCCTTCTACTCTCACTTGGCTTTTCACTCAAGGCTGGTCCTTTACCACTTGAGTCACAGTTCCGCTTCTGGCTTTTTGCTAGTTAATTGGAGGTAGGAGTCTCATGGACTCTTCTGCCCAGGCTGGCTTTAAATCCCAATCTTCACATCTCAGCCTCTTGAATAGCTAGGATTATAGGTGTGAGCCACCAGTACACAGTTCATCATTTCTTTTAGAATATGTTGTTTTTGTTTTTGAGACAAGGTCTTACTGTCCCCCGCCCCCTCCCCAAGATAGGAATTAGTAGAAAAGCAGGCCGTTTAAGGAATCATAGCCTGTGGAACTTGGAGATGGCGAGATAAGCTGATAGAATTTGCCTGTCAAAGAAATAGAGGAAGAAGAACAACAAAATGAGGAAATAAAAATGGGACAGTCAATCTTTGGCACCCCGACCTTATAAGAAACAAGGGAGACCCAGCCCATCAGAAAGCTGTCTTCAAGGACTCCAATTCTCCCCATTTAACCGAATGCCAAGATAGCTGAGCTAAGCTGCAGTGCTGACTTCCTGTGGCATATATTCAAGCCACGTGCTCTCTTTCTCTGCCATAAGTCTTTTCCCATAAACTTGCCTTTCACCTGTAGTATGTTTGACTCTTGCCTGAATTCTTTTTTTGCCATTGCAAAGATCCAGGTCAACTTAGCAGCCCTAAATTTCTGGTAACATGATTGGTGCATGAACCAGGAAGTTAGGGATAAAGTGTTATCTTTTTCTGACTTGAATTCACAGAAAGGTAACAACATCATTATGCCCTGCTAAAACCTGCATTTCCTTTTGTTTTCTTTCTTTCCTTTTTTAAAGAACTGGTCTGAAAAGCACTTTGGAAATCTTGATTGTGCTGTCTTCTCATTTCCCCAGTGAAGGGTCTCAGAGGATCTCCGTTCTTGGCAAGCAAAGCTGCCTGACTCTCAGTGTTGCCAGGCACTGTGGTCTTCCATCATTTTGTTTTGTTTCAATATCTTTATAAGTGATAATGGGAGTCCTCCCTCATTCTCTTTCAAAACTGTCTTGAGCCAAGTTCTTAGTGGCTCACACCTATAATCTTAGCTACTCAGGAGGCTGAGATCTAAGGATCTTGGTTGGAATCCAGCCCAAGGAGGAAAGTCCAGTGAGATTCTTATCTCCAATTTCATACTACTGGGTGGGGGTGGGGTGGGGTGGGGAGAAGAAGCAAGCTGAGGGAAAGCACCCAGGCCTTCAGTCCCCAATACCAGCACATACATACACGTGCACACGTGTGCACACACACATACACATGTACATCTTAACTATTCTGTCCCTTTTTCTCACCAAGTTCTCAGTTAAGATTTTGGTTAGCATTGACTTTATAGCTTATTTAACAGACAAATTTGTAGGAACCTTCCAAGACTTGAAGACTTAATCTATTAGAAATGTCTTCTCTAAGCATAGCACATTTGATATATATTATACCGCCCCACGCCCCACCCCCGTTCTCCCCCTCCTTCGTCAGTCTTGCCCTCATCCAACTGGCTGTCACATCCCTCAGTTCGCAAAGAAACCAGGCAGGGGGAGAGTGATCAATAATTGGTATCTAGATTGGAGCCATCCCTGTGCTTTAGGTTCAGGAGGGGATTGACTGTTTCCTGCCTTGTTCAGAACATCTCCTGGGCTGAGCTCACTGGCCCCCAGTGCTGGTGAAGCAGGCTAGCTCAGGCTGTTTTGTCTCTCCTCTTTCTCGGGCACCTTGTGGGTTCCTGAGAGCAGCAGGGAAGGGCTTTGTTCCTGGAGCTGGAGAGTGGGGGTGGGAATCTTTGGATTGCTATGAGGGAGACAGACTCAGCCTCTGCTGCTTTAGGTGGAAATAATTTCATGTTTTACAAAGTGGGAGGATGAGCCACTCGAGTCTGTGCCAGCAAATGCCCAGCTATACTTGGGCATCAGACACAGCACATCAGGTGGCCCATGCCTCCGGGGAACGCGCGCATTGTTCTAGTTGGTCATCCGGAACCGCTTGGAATTGTTTCCTACCCTGCCAGGCCCCAGGGGCAGTGCTCTTTTTCTGTCTCTGCTGTCACTTACATTCCTCTCTGAGCTCAGTTTCCATCACCTCTAATCATCCCTGGACTACGACTTCTTTGTTCTTGGATTAAGTGAGGCCAGCTGACATTCACTCAGGCCAAGGCTTCACACGTGGCCCCTGGCCACTTCTGAGCTCTGTCAGAGGGGGAAAATTTGATGTGTTTCGGGCAGGTCCCCTGTGCCAAGTTTGAGCAAGGGAATATGCAGAAAATGTGGAGACAAAGGAATGGTTGCTCCCAGGGAAGCAAGGCCCAGCCCTTGTTGGCAGCATTTCCATGTTTGGGAACACAAAGGTTCCCAGATGGAGGGGCCTGCTGTTCTTTCTGATGGCGGCTTTCTTTAGCCAAAAGGCGCTGCTGACTCCTGCCCTGTGAGTGCCTAGACTTCAGGCAAGGAGGCTGTGGGCTGAGCTCTGTGTCTGCCTGACTCTGTGGAGTTCCCAGGGCTTTCCTCACGATCACTTGTCCCCAATTGTCCTCCTGAACACACTACTGGAGCAGGTCACTCTTGGTGCTAGGCCCTCTGGCATTGGTGCCGTCACCTTGGGTAGCATGTCTGGTCTCTCTGCACTCTCAACCCACCACCTTTGTAGCCCCTGCCTGTGGTCAGGGAAACCTCATGCGCTCATGCAGAGGTCTCAGCCCAAAGGGGTAGCTGTGATGGAGGGAAGCTTTGTCCTGGAGACCAGCTGGAGGATTGGTGCTTTTATTCAGATGAGCCTCTGCCAATCACACACCCAAGCCTGAGCCCCAGTCATTCCTCTAGGCCACCAGGATGCTAAGAGCTGACATGGGATGAGCACAAGTTACTATCTACTGACTGCAGGGTAGCATGGAGGGGCCAACCTACACTGCTCCAGAACAAAGAACAGATTCCTGACAGAGCCACCATGTGTTAGATGGGCAGACTGGTACAAAGGAATTTGGCAGTCTCATGAAAACTGGGCACACTGCTTTCCTCCACCCAGGTACATTTGGGAAGGGTTCAGGGTTCCCACGAGTGACTCCCTGTGTTTCTGGGGCTGTGCAGGTGGGTGTATGAGGCCAGGCTCTCTGACCTCTCAGGAGTCATCTGACCCAGACAACCTGTGGACTCCCTTAGCCCCAGCCCCAGGCTGTTGTAGAGACCGAGTATTTTACTGGACTTGGAGGAGGGTGAAACTGAGTTTAAGGCACCATTCACTTTTCACTTTCTAATTGTCTCATGCTGGCCACTGCACCTTCTGAAACTGGTTTTTAGACCCCAGGCCCAAACTCCAGGAGTCCCGCTAAGGTTCGGCCAGGCACCCCATCTGCCCCTTTAAAAGCCGCGGTGAAGGGCATGGAAGGCCGGAGACCGGGCTTCCCCCGCAGGGTCCTGGTGTGAGCTCCCCTGCTCTCTCCTGCAGGATCTCCTACGACCCCGCGCGGTTTCCCAGGTACCTGCCCGAGGCCTACTGCCTGTGCCGGGGCTGCCTGATGGGGCTCTTCGGGGAGGAGGACTTCCGCTTCCGCAGCACGCCGGTGTTCGTGCCGGCCGTGGTCCTGCGCCGCACCCCGGCCTGCGCGGGAGGCCGCGCCGTCTACGCGGAGGACTACGTCACCATCCCGGTGGGTTGCACCTGTGTCCCCGAACCCGACAAGGAGGCGGGCAGCATCAACTCCAGCATGGACAAACAGGCCGCCAAGCTCTCGCTGGGCCCCAGCGACAAGCCCGCCAGCCCCTAGGCCGCCCTGCCACCCGGGCTGCCACCCGGGCTGCCTAGCTGCTTGCCCGTGGCCTGGAACTCGCCACCCAGAGGCCTCCAGGCCCCTCGCCGCTCCGGCCAGGAGGTCGAGCTATGGATGCTTTTCACGTATGTGTGCGCGCTGGCCTTGGGGCTTGAACCCCAGGATCCGGGCACTGTCCCTGAGATTCTTTTTTTCCTCAAGGCTTGAGCCAACAGCGCCACTCTCAGCTTTTTAGTGGTTAATTGGCGATAAACAGTCTCACAGACTTTCCTGCTTGGTTGGCTTCTAGCCTTGAGCCTCAGATCTCAGCCTCCTAAGTATCTGGGATTACAGGCCTGAGCCACTCATACCCACCTAGAGCAGCTTTTTTTTTTTTTTGTCGGTCGTGGGGCTTGAACTCTGGGCCTGGGCGCCATCCCTCAGCTCTTCAGCTCAAGGTGAGCGCTCTACCACTTGAGCCACAGCGCCACTTCCAGTTTTCTGAGTGGTTTATTGGAGATAAGAGTCTCACAGACTTTCCTGCCCAGGCTGGCTTTGAACCGTGATCCTCAGATCTCAGCCTCCTGAGTAGCTAGGATTACAGGTGTGAGCCACCGATGCCCGGCCTTAAAAATCTTTTTTAAAAACAATGTGCATAGGGGCAGAAATTATTTTTATAGTAAGAATTTAGAGCAACTGTATTAGAAACTTACTTGACCTGTTAGTAATTTACAAACATTCAGTTTTGCTCTAGTAGGAATTTTAGACACATACTTAAAATCCTGAGATGAGCTCTTTTTATCTGGTACCAGGTCCAAGTCTCCAGACTTGGCCTGTCACCCCTAGCTGACAGGAGAAAAGCACATGGCTGCATTTTTTTTTTCCCAGTCATGGAGCTTGAACTCAGGGCCTGGGCACTGTCCTTGAGCTCTTTTGCTCAAGCTAGTGTTCTACTACTTTGAGCCACAGCACTACTTCCAGTTTTCTGATAGGAAATTGGAGATAGGAATCTCAAGGACTTTTCCTGCCTGGGCTAGCTTTGAACCATGATCCTCAGATCTCAGCCTCCTGAATAGCTAGGATTACAGGCATGAGCCACCTATGCCCAGCCTCATGCCTGCATTTTGACCCAGTTCCCTTTCCAGCCAAGACACTCATAGGCCAACAGAGGCTTACAGTTCCAGAAATCCAAAGTTCATGTTGTGCCTTGGTATACAAATGAGTTTAAAACAATTTAAATTTTAGGGTCCTTCCACCCTTGAAAGCTGCTTGGGTTGTGAGAAGTGGAATGTGCTATCTTTGCTAATTCTCAGCAAGAACCCATGCTCCTATTGGCTTAGTCTTGAGGACTTCAGGATTGGGCCAAATAGGAGAAAGTATGCCAAAACTATCTCCAGAAATCACTTTTAGGTCTCTCCTTCCTACGGAATACAATAAGAGCTAAATCTACTTTTTTGTTAAGGTCAAAGTCTGTCCTTGAACAAGTATTTGTAAAAGATGCTCTTTTGAAATGATTAAAACTAATGATAAATGAAAATGTGTTAGTGTGCATTTCATGTCTGCTTCTTAGACTGGCTTATTTTTTTCTGAGGGGAGGGGTAATGGGATAGAACTTGAATTCAGGGCCTTTGTGCAAAGCATGTGTTTTACCATGGAGCTACACACCCAGTGCTCTTTGGAGGAAACAGTATGATTGTGGAACACCTCAGTTGATGGTTGAGATTTAATCAAAATTTAATTTGATCCTGGGAAGATCAATAAGGCATGTAAAGTCTAGCTCCTTGATCTTTTGTGATACCTCCCTCCCCCAAACCAAGAAATATCTTTCATTTAATATTCCATTCATATATATATTTGGCCACTGTGACAACCTGACCTAAACAAATTTGAGGAATGATTTATTCTGGCTCATGATCATGAATTTTTAGTCCACAGTGTTTGGCTGTATTAGTTCTGAGCCTGCAGGGAGGCAGAGAGAGTATCATGGCTTCAGGCACATGTGACAGAAGCTCCTAACCTCATGATGGGGAGAAAACAGGCAACAATGCAGGGACCAGGGACCAGGGACCAGGTACACCTTCAATCTTCTGGTCTCCAGAGATCTCCTCCCTGAACATAGGTTCCATCTCCTTGTCTACTTTCTCTCCAATAGCACCGCCAGCAGGAAACCAAGTCTTTAACACATGAAATCTGTCAGGAACATTTCCTATTCAAATCATAACAACCCACAAGCTTCACAGGCTACTCCTCAAATATAAATAGTGGAATTAAGAAGAACAGGCGATGTGCAAGGCATTTCATTCTCTACATGTTTGATTATCTAAACTTGTTAAAGGAAACACATTTCTGCTAAGTTCACACTTAATAATCTGAGCTACTCAGGAGGCTGACTTGGTTTGAAGCCAGTCTAAATAGAAAAGTCCTTAAGACTCCATCACTAATTAACCAGCAAAATGTTGGACTGGAGGTGTGGCTCAGGTAGTAGAGCACCAACTGTGAGCAAGCCAAGAAGGAGTCCCTGAGTTCAAGCCCTGACAACAGGATTATATACATTGACACTCTCCCTGTCCCCCCACTCCTTGCACTTTCACTAGGCAACAGCAGTTAGATGTATCAAGTTGAAACAGAGGTGGTAACTACATATAGGGACATGTTCTTTCAATGAAAAACAATAGAATGTTATTCTTTTAACGCTAGTAGGGTTTGGGTTGTATGCAGAGGTAGTATTGTTTAATTAGGAAATTTACTGCCTAAAGAAATAATGGCAGCAATGGCTCAATGGCTTCTCCTCTGCTCAATTTCTTTGCATCTTATATCACATGGTGAATACACCTGCACTTGTTTACACAGGCACCACTTGGTTCCTGGGCTTTGTGGGAGAGAAACACCTGACACTCACATCTCATAGCTATGTCCTCTGTTTCCTGAAGAATGACACATTGTTTGTTTCTTTCAAATACTATCTTGAGGGCTGGGAAAGTGGCTCAGTGGTAGAGTGCTTGCCTAGCATGCATGAAGCCCTGGGTTTGATTCCTTAGTACCACATAAACAGAAAAAGCCAGAAGGTAGTGTGTTAGCCTTGAGCAAAACAAGCTCAGGGACAAGTGCCCAGACCCTGAATTCAAGCCTCAGGACTGGCTTAAAAAAAGAAAAAATCAAATACTACCTTGAGGATTTGGGAATGGAAGTACTTTCCTGGTAATCCACCTTCTAGCCAATGAACAATACAGTAGTTTCTTCCTTTATCCTTGATTTTTTTTTTTTGAACTCTAGCCTGTGTGCTGTCCCTCAGCTCTTCAGCTCAAGACGAGTGCTCTACCACTTGATCCACAACACTACTTTGTTTTCTGAGTGGTTTTTTTTTTGGAGATAAGAGTCTCACAGACTTTCCTGCCCTAGCTGGCTTTGAGCCACAATTCTCAGATCTCATCCTCCTCAGTAGCTAGGATTACAGGCGTGAGCCACCAGCACCTGGCTCCCTATCCTTGATTAGATATCTGTGGTCAACCAAGGCCCATAATTATTAAATAGCAAATTTTGTCTCTCAGTGTAAATCTTTTGACAGGATTTACAGGGGATTGGAGGCATGGCTCAGCTGGTAAAGTACTAGCAATGAACAAAAGCATTAGATACTGAGTTCGAATTCCAATCTCAGACAAAAATAGTAAGAAGACAAATGTCTATTTAAAATCTTTTTTTTTCCTTTTAGCTTTGAAGTCCCTTGAAGGGTGTGAGAGCCCTAGCTACATTTGGGACCTCAGTCCACAGATACAGGATGCTAGGGGGAGCATCACCCCCAGCCCACCCCTCCTTGACCCTCTCCTTTGCCCATTAGATAGGCTCCAAGGAACATACCAGGCCTAAGGAGTTGTTTTAAGAGGAGCAGATGCCTTATGAAATTTAGAAGAGGATCATATATGAATACAGCTTAAGCTATAACTGAAATAATGTCAGAGGTCCAAAGTCATGAAACATTCGTTTAGACAGAATTAGACAGAAATGCCATTACCTCATTCTGCAGGACTCCTAACATGTCTCACATGCATTTTTTGGTGAGTTAAACCCTCTGGAGGGGAAAAAAATGGTTTCTCTTTGGCTAAATGCCAGATTTATAGGGCAACTAAAACTGATTTCTAGGTTGCCATCCATCCACAGTTTCCAAGTTGAACATTTTATTTATGTCCTGAAATTTGCTACTGACTACCTAGGTAATTTCTGGCAAATCAAATCATAAAGAAATAGAATTTTTGTTTAAAGGCCAAACATTTTCTGAATACTTAATGTGTACCAGGTGCTGGTACACATTAAATGTCAATGTATATAAAATACCAAAGTCTGCTAGGCACCATTGGCTCAAGCCTGTAATCTTAGCTACTTAAGATGATATCTGAGAGTCAAGGTTTGAAGCCAGCTCAGGTAGTAAAGTGAATGAGACTATTATTACCAATTAACTATCAAAAAGCCAGAAGAGGAAGTGTGGTTCAGATAGTACCAGCATTGAGAAAAAGAAAGAGAGAAAGGAAGGAAGGAAGGAAGGAAGGAAGAAAGAAAGAAAGAAAGAAAGAAAGAAAGAAAGAAAGAAAGAAAGAAAGAAAGAAAGAAAGAAAGAAAGAAAGAAAGAAAGAAAGAAAGAAAGAAAGAAAGAAAGAAAGAAAGAAAGAAAGAAAGAAAGAAAAAGAAAAGAAAGAAAGGAAAGCAAGCGAGCGAGCGAGCAGGTATCTCTGGGTTTCCTGAACATGGACTTCTGTGTGCCTGGCCTGTCCTCACTAATCACTCAGAAAAGGCTGCGTTTTTCTCAGTCATGAGCCCCCTTCTATGATGTTCACTATCGGAGCTCATTTCTCTGTCCCCCTCAGGTGCTGGAGCATCTCAGAGCCAGAGCAGCTTCCGTCTAAACTGCTGCTTGTCACTGCCTCAGGGGAAAGTGGAGCTCAGGCTGAACGCAACATACTACTCTCATACCTGTAGCCAAAGCAAGCCTTTCTCTCCCAGAGAAAAAGCATTCTTTTTCAAAATTTAAATTTTGAGGGGCTGGGAATGTGGCTTAGTGGTAGAGTGCTTGCCTAGCATGCATGAAGCCCTGGGTTTGATTTCTCAGTACCACATAAACATAAAAGGCCAGAAGTGGCACTGTGGCTCAAGTGGTAGAGTGCTAGTCTTGAGCAAAAAAAAAAAAAGCTCAGGGACAGTGCCTAGACCCTGAGTTCAGGCCCTAAGACTGGCAAACAAAAACAAAACAACAACAACAAAAACACAAATAAATTTTTAGATGATTGTAGATTCATAAGAAATCACAACAATTACAGAAAGGTTGTGCCCCTTAATTAGCTTCTGCATAGTAACATCTTAGGTAATCACACAAGGATGTCACAGCTAGAAAGCTGACACTGACACAAACTGGGACGCTGCCTTGGAGTTAGCCAGTTTGTTTGTTTTGGGTTCTATGCTGGTCTTGGAGCTTGAACTCGGGCTCTTGTGCTTTCACTTGGTGGTTTCCTTCAAGTCTGGTGCTCTAGTTCTATATTTTTGATGGGGATTGTAGGTAAAGAGTCTCATGGAGCCGGGCACGGGTGGCTCTCACCTATAATCCTAGCTACTCAGGAGGCTGAGATCTGAGGTTCACGGTTCAAAGCCAGCCTGGGCAGGAAAGTTTGTGAGACTCTTTTTTTTTTGGGGGGGGGGGAGGGGGGTCCGGTCGTGGGGCCTGAACTCAGGGCCTAGGCGTTGTCCCTCAGCTCTTCAGCTCAAGGCTAGCACTCTACCACTTGAGCCACAGCACCACTTCCGGCTTTTTTTTTCTTTTTGCTTATATGGTGCTGAGGAATCGAACCCAGGGCCTCAGGCATGCAAGACAAGCGCTCTACCACTGAGCCACCTTCCCAGCCCCTGTGAGACTCTTATCTCCAATAAACCACTCAGAAAACCGGAAGTGGCACTGTGGCTCAAATGTTCAGAGCGCTACCTTGAGCTGAAAAGCTGAGGAACAGCACCCAGGCCCAGAGTTCAAGCCCCACAACCAACCAAAAAAAAAAAAAGAGTCTCATGGACTTTTCTGTCTGGACTGGATTGGAAGTATGATCCTCAGGTCTCAGCCTCCCCAGGGGCTAGATGATAGGCATGTGCCTTGAGTAATTGGCTTTATATCAGCATGATGTCCTTTCAAATGCTTCTAAGTTGTACATGTCCATGTCCATGTCCATGGCTGTGTGGTCCTCTTATGAATAAAAGTATCGTGAATAGTTCTTGAACACCAAGTACCCAGTACCCTCCCTAGCACTGTTTCTTGATGCTGCAGTGTGGCTTTCAGATGGCAGTGCCATTTTTCCAAGACATCAGGAATGAGGCACTAAGGCTCAGTCACTGCTGAGCATACTGGCTTCCATCACCATTCCCAGAACCCAGAGGAGAAACAGGAATTGGAGACACTCAGACACTGATTGTTTAGGTCATGGACTTATTTCATGAAGGTAAGTTGAGTCTCTTGGGAGGCTAGGGCAGGATATAGGGAATGGGGCACAGCCCTAGAATGCACAAAACGGATGCTGGAGTGCACCCAGGCCTCTAAGTAGGCAGAGACAAATATCCTATCTACTTTAGGCTCGTGGGCCATTTGTCTTTCTGTTTATCACATATGTTGTGCAAGGCGAGTAGATTAGATAGCTTCTAAAAATTCTCCCCAATTGAATTCCATAAATGTAGATTGGGAGAAGAATCTCAAGCTTGTTAGGGAAACAGTCAGAAGTATTTATTTATTTACTTATTGTTGTGCCAGTACTGGAGCTTGAACTCAAGACCCGAGCGCTATGCCTTTAACTTTTTCACTCAAGGCTGGTACTCTGGCATTTAAGCCACATCTCAGCTTCTGGCTTTTTGCTGGTTCACTGGATTTAAGAATCCTACAGTTTTCTGCCTGGGCTGGCTTTGAACCTCAATACTCAGGTCTCAACCTCCTAAGTAACTAATATTACAGGCATGAGCCACCAGCATCAGCTGAAAAGTTCTATTTAATTTTTGAAAATTAGGCAAGGATAGCCCCAGTTTGGGGTAGGGTGAGGGAAGAAGTTATAACTTTTCAATAGAAAGAAAATAAAGAGAAATAATAAGAAAACCTATTGCTATCTGTATTTAGGTCTCACAGTTCAGTCCCGAATCATAATTCACATAACAGCGAAACTCATTTGCCAAGTTCCGGGTGTGTTTTGGAATAAACTTGCACATCTTCACTCCCAGGAGCTCTGCGGCTTGTCCTTCCATGGTGGCACCTGAGGAGACCAGATCAAGTGAACCCAAAACGCCAGACACCAACCAGAGTTGGAAGCCAGCTCTAGGCTACATGTCTGAGAATATTAGCTGACAATACCATGACACATACAGTGCAAGTGGCCCATTCTATATATTCCATTTTCCCTTTTTAAACTTGCCTCCTTGTCATTTCTGTTTTAGTTAATAAATAATTCCCCATGCCAGGCACCAGTAGCTCCTAGCTACTCAGGAGTCAGAGATCTGTGGATATAAGTTTGAAGCCTGGGCAGGAAAGTCTAAGGGCTTCTCATCTCCAGTGAATTATCCAGAAGCTAGAAGGAGAGGTGTGGCTAAAGTGGTAGAACACCAGCCAGTTCAGAGGGGCTGGGAAGATGGCTCAGTGGTAGAGTGCTTGTCATCTCCCACTGCTATCTCCCTGCCTCAGGAGTGGATGAAGTACAATGCTCAAACTCCTTTAGACTAAGTGGATACTGTTAATTGGGGTCTGAGCACTTAAAAAAAAAAAAAAGGGCAGGAAGGTGGCTCAGTGGTAAGAGTGCTTGCCTTGCATGCATGAGGCCTTGGGTTCAATTCCTCAGCACCACATAAGCAGAAAAAAAAAAAAAAGCCAGAAGTGGCACTGTGGCTCTAGTGGTAGAGCTCTAGCCTTGAGATGAAGAGCTGAGGGGCAGTGCCCAGGACCAGAGTTCAGGCCCCACAACTGACCAAAACAAAGACTAGGATGTAGCTCAGTGGCAAAGCACTTGCCACTGTACAAGTACAACATGCTGGGTTCAATCCCTAGTACCAGGAAAGAAAAAACAAAACAAAATACATTTAAAAAAAAAAAGCTCCAGGCTAAGTTCTGATTGGCTTACATTTGTAATCCTAGCTACTTACAAGGCAGACATGAGGAGTATCCTGTTTCCAGGCTACAAAGTCCATGAGACCTCCAACTAGATAGATTTCAAGCCCCAGGCCCAGCCACACATACACACACACAGACACAGACACACAGACACACACACACACACACACACACAGACACACACACACACACACACACACACACACACACACACACACACACACACACACACACACACGAGGAAGAATAACTGAATTACTTAAGGACACATAATAAGTAATGGTGGAATTGAGACTTGACTCCTAAGAACTCTTGCAACTCTTCAAGCCAAGGACTTGCCCTTCACTGCCCTCGCTTTTGTGAGAAGGGAAAGTTGCCCTTCACTGCCCTTGCTTTTGTGAGAAGGGAAAGGCGGCACATACCTGTGCACAGGAGGACTTTGCCCCGTGTCAGGTACTGGATGGTTTCTGAGGTCTTCTTGAGGCATTCTTCAGAAAGATATGGAGGATCCGCCACAACAATATCAAAACTGTGTGCAGCAATTTTTTCAGGCAAATCCAGTGGGTGATTATAATCATAGAAGATAAATTCCTCCCCATACATGGCAAATCTTCTGTCGTATTCAAAGATATACACAGAGAAGTCTTGTCTGTGCAGTGCTCTGAGTTTCTGGTACACGCTGGGTGCACTCACACAGGCTATTCTAGAATACAGAATGCATGCAGTGTGAAAGATAATTAATGATGCTAGACAAGGACTTCATGTGAATATGCCAAAATGCCTGTGCTCAGACCTTAAAGAAAGGAACAGCACTGGGTGCTGTAATCCTAGCTACTCAGTAGGCTGACATCTGAGGATCCTGATTTGAAATCTGTGACACTCTTATCTCCAACTGCCAAAAAAAATACCACAAGTGGAGCTGTGGCGCAAGTGGTAGAGTACTAGCCTTGAGCACAAAAGCCAGGGACACTGTCCAGGCCCTGAGTTCAAGTCCCAGTATGGGCACTTAAAAAAAAAAAAGGAACAACTCAAGCTCATAATCAGTAAAGTTGCTTTTTTGTTTTGTTTTGTTTTTTTTGTTTTTTTGGTCATGGGGCTTGAACTCTGGGCCTGGGCACTGTTCTTCAGCTCTTCAGCTCAAGGTAAGCACTCTACCACTTGAACCACAGCTCCACTTCTGGTTTTCTGGTGGTTTATTGGAGATAAGAGTCTCATAGACTTTTCCTGTCAGGGCTGGCTTTGAACCATGATCCTCAGATCTCAGCTTCCTGAGTAGTTAAGATTACAGGCCTGAGCCACAGCACCCAGCATAATCAGTAAACTTTTAAGAGGAAATTTTATATGGCCTCACTTGTAAGGAATTTGCTATTTAAAAAAATTATAGCTCATAACTTTGAGGTATGAAAGAATAAATATACTTTTGCAGGGGAAAAAACATTAAAAGCATCAGGAACATATTATGACAAAAGTTAAGATATATTTGACCCAAAGCCCAAATTCACCTATTATTTCATGTTTAATCTTTAATATTTACTTCAAATACTTTTAGTCCAAACTAATTGTTTTGAAGTCATTTTGTAACATTCATGATTCCCAAACATTCAAAGACTCCAAGTAACTTCCTAAATGATTCAACTTATCCAAAAAGATAACAGTGGGATTTGATCTTGCTACTGACAAGCTGCTATGAGTGTTTGAATCGTTTTTTGTGAAATGAAATTAGTCTTGTGCATGTGTGTATGTGTGTGGTACTGAACCCAGAGTGTTACACATCTACCACTGAGTTATATCCCAGCCTAACTAATCTGTGTTTATTTCAGGCAGTCCACAGATTATGAATGGGTGATGTCCAAGAGTTAGCTTTTAAAGCCAACTCTTTAGAAAACTACCTGATACCTAAATAGTGAATTGGTTAACTGTGATACATCAATTTCTTTTTCTTTTTTCTTTTCTTTTTTTTTCCAGTCCTGGGGCTTGAACTCAGGACATGGGCACTGTCCCTGAGTTTCTTTTGCTCAAGGCTAGTGCTCTACCACTTGAGCCACAGCACAACTTCCGGCTTTTCTGTTTTTGTGGTACTGAGGAATCAAACCCAGGGCTTTATGCTTGCTAGGCAAGCGCTCTACCACTAAGCCACATTTGCAGCCACATGGTACATCAATTTCAATGGAATGTTTTGTGACCACTCTACAAAGACTGAAGCAGCCCTTGTGTACTGATCTAAAACAAGCTCTAAGATCTATTCAAGGAATAGAGAACAGTAAACTATGGGTTTTTTTGTTTGTTTTCTGTGAAAAAGTTCACTACATAGCCCAGGCTACAGAACTTACAACCTTCCTGCTCAGCCTTTTCAATGCTGGGATTACAAATATATGTATGTTGCCATGCCTGGAGCATTAAACATATTTTCATGGGTGTGGGACTCCTGGAGACCTGGGGTCTAAAACATTGTTTCAGAAGGTTCCCAAGAGCCAGGGTCCTTTGTAAGGGCCTAGAGGATCTAGAAACAATGGGAGAAACCTCTCAATTCCCCTTCTCATTTTTATATTTTTGTATGTTCTTAAATTGTCATCAAAAAAGGACTTAAGCCAGGTTCCAGTAGCTCATGCTTGTAATCCTAGCTACTCAGGGGGTTGAGATCTGTGGATCGTGGTTTGAACCCAGCCAGGTCTTGAGACTCTTATCTCCAATTAACCAGAAAAAAGAAAAATAAGTGGAACTATAGCTCAAGGGATAGAGTGTGACCCTTGAGTGAAAAGGCTCAGAGACAACACCCAGTTCCTAAGTTCAAGCCCCAGGAACCACACACACAAACACACACACACACCACTTAATTTTAAAATTAAATTCAGTATTTAAAATGTGAAAAATGTGTTTCTTAACAGACAGTGTTATATGTCCCCGCTTTGAAGCGGCTCAGCTCTTGGAGAAGATAAGCTTGGTTGGGTCACATAATATATCTAGGTTTTGGAAAAGCACATGTCCTGGTTCTGGCTGGCTGTGGGACATGGCCCTTCCTCACAGCATCTCTGCACTGGACTCGAGGGAGACTGGAGGAAGCCCAGTGACCTTAGAACTATGTTGGAAGAGAAAAATAAGCACAAGTATAACCAAGGTTATATGCACACAAAGGAAATCTTCTGGGAAAGGAGAAAGACAAGATCTGAGAGCTTGCCTCAACAGACCTCCCTGAGAACTCCTAAAGGTTGCACTGATGCAGGGTAATGGACGATGATACAAGAAGGAATGAGAACCCGCAGGGAATGGAGGTCATCTAGTAGCAGTAGCCAGAGGGACTGTGTGAAAACCCAGCAAGCCTATGGGTGATGATCTGAAGGTTTCAGAAACCTACTACTACTTTGAGGTGTGAGCACAGATGCAATGATGCTGGCAAAGCACCTATGACAGGAGAACACACATACTAGGGAGGAGAGGCTTCCAAGGCCCTAATACAAATGAGAGGAAAAGAATATGTGAGGCTGGGAATGTGGCTTAGTGGTAGAGCGCTTGCCTAGCATACATGAAGCCCTGGGTTCGATTCCTCAGTACCACATACACAGAAAAAGCCAGAAGTGGAACTAAGGCTCAAGTGGTAGAGTGCTAGCCTTTGAGCAAAAGAAGCTCAGGGTCAGTGCCCAAGCCCTGAATCCAAGCCCCAGGACTGGGAAAGAAAGAAAGGAAGGAAGCAAGGAAGGAAGGGAGAGAGAGAGAGAAAGGAAGGAAGGAAGGAAGGAAAGAAGGAAGGAAGGAAGGAAGGAAGGAAGGAAGGAAGGAAGGAAAGAAGAGGCTGTGGAAACCCTGTTCCTATAATTTAGATCTTTGTTTTTCCTTTGAGTCAGGTCTTATTCATATAATCCAGGCTAGCCTGGAACATGCCATATAGAGCTCTTTATCCTCCTGCCTCAGCCTTTCCTGTGCTGGCACCATACCCAGTTTGGATCTCGAATGTCCCCAAAGGCCTATGTTTAAAGGCTTGGTCTCTATCCTGTAGCACTTATGGGAGGTGGTGGATCCTTTATGAGGTGGGGCCTAGTGGAAGGAAGTTAGGTCTTTGGAGGAGTGCCCTCAAGAGACATTAGAACCCCAGACCCTTCCTCTGCCACACACTCCTGCTATGATATGCCACAAGCCCATAACAACAGGGCCAACTGACCAGGGACTGAAAGCCCCAAATCCAAGTGAAAATACCTTTACTCCTTTGAAGTTGACTTATCTCAGCTATTTGCTACAGTAACAGAATTTCACATGGTAAGAAAAATCTAATGAACAGCATCAAAAAAGAAAATGAAAAAGAATAACAACTTAAGGCTTCCAATTAAAGGTGATACATTAAACACACATACATTTCCTTCAAGGAAGTCAACAAAGTTAAAAATAAAAAAAAAAGGTAAAAATGCATTTTACTTTGTTGTTTAGGCATAAACAACAAAAGATAGCACAGGGAATGGGGCGGGAGGACAGAGCCACCACACTTAAGAAGCTGAAAAGTCAGCAGGTGGGTGGTTATTAAACCAAAGAAAACTAAATCTGGCATTGGCAGCAGGAGAGCTGAGCTGTTCCTGGCTGATATCACAGCATTCCCAAAGGCCCAAGATGCCACAGACCCAGGAAACTCAAGACACAGAGGTGAAGGGTGCTAAAAACAGGAGAATTTGTTAAAAGGTCTATTTAAGAAGTAATTCCTTCCCAGGATCCTCTTCCATACCCTGCATTTGATACATCTGTCTCCATTACTGGCTCTTTTCCTGGTCTCTGATTATCATTATTATCATCATCATCATCCTGTATGGCACAGTTCATTTTCAAAGAATGAAGGGGAAAAGTCTCAACTGTAAAGAAAATTTACATAGCCCTAACAACATTAAATCCTGTCTTAAACAAAACTAATACAGAACCTAGGGGCACACAGCAGAAAATACTCATACCATGGACTCGTGGCAAGAAATCCAAAAAACACAACCCACAGAAGACCCCTTTAACTGTGGTTTTGCTATGGGTTCAGTTACTTGTAATCAGTTATTGTTCATCTCTTCCTGTGCCAAGAAAAAAAAAATAATTTAATTTTTTTAAAAAAAGGAGATGGGCCTGGGAAGGTGGCTCAGTGGTAGAGTGCTTGCCTTGCATGCATGAGGCCCTGGGTTCCATTCCTCAGCACCACATCAGCAGAAAAAGCTGGAAGTGGCACTGTGGCTCAAGTGGTAGAGTGCTAGCCTTGAGCTGAAGAGCTGAGGGACAGCACCTAGGCCCAGAGTTCAGGCCCCACAACCAGGAAAAAAAAATTTTTTAAAGGAGGCAGGATCTGCCAGGTGCTAGTGGTTCAGTGGTTCATGCGTATAATGCTAGCTACTCAGGAGACTGAGATCTGCAGATTGAGGTTCAAAAGCTAGCCTGAGCAGAAAAGTCCAGGAGACTCTGACTTTTCTCTTTAACCAACAAAAAAGCTGGTCGTGGAGGTATGGTTCAATCATTAAGCCTGATGATTGGGCTTTCTTTCTTTCTTTTTCTTTTTTTGTCGGTCGTGGGGCTTGAACTCTGGGCTTGGGTGCTGTCCTTGCACTCTTCAGCTCAAGGTGAGCACTCTACCACTTGGCCACAGCACCACTTCCGGTTTTCTAGTGGTTTATTGGAGATAAGAGTCTCATGGACTTTCCTGCACGGGCTGGCTTTGAACGGTAGTCCTCAGATCTTAGCCTCCTGAGTAGCTAGGATTACAGGTGTGAGCCACCAGCACCTGGCTGATGATTGGGCTTTCACATCACTGTGAGAGATGTGGCTTCCTTTAATTTAGAGTAGATGAAAGGAGAAAGGGAATGTGAATCTCACCTGCCACCTTCCCCAGCAGCAGTAATGGCTTCCTGTGCAAGCCGCAAGGCTGTTTCCTGGCTGTACCAGAACTGGCTCAACTGCTGCAAGAAAGGGACAGGATGACACCATCTTAGAATCCATGTAAGCGCTGGGCTTTGAATTTATGCTGACTATCCTAGCATGCATAGATTGAACTTTTTAATGTTGCAAATTCATTTTTCTTTGACAGAACCTTGTATCACTGCAAGCCTGACATAGAAAGGAATAGACACACTGAGTATCAGTGGTACCATCAGCCCCAGTGAACAAGGGTACACATAAAGGAGGTGACCCATCAGTCACGCAGTGAGGTAGTCAGCCCTTTGCCTCCACCTCCTGACCTACAGGTACCTTTGATTTATGTGTTTACAATGACTGCTTTTCCTCAGGGCTGTTGTTTTTCATCCTGCTCCTCTTTCATGACAATGGATGCTTTTCTTTAAAAGTCTAGGGATCCTTAATGATATATACATTTTTTAAATACTAATTTTGTTGTATTGTTATTATAAAATGATGTACAGAGGGATTACAATTTCTTGTCAGGTAATGAGTACAATTTTTATTTTTATTCTTTTTGGTCGGTCATGGGGCTTGAACTCTGGGCTTGGGCAATGAGTACAATTCTTTTTGAACAGTGTCACCCCATTCCTAGCTCTCTCCCAGTTTTTCCCTCCTGTCCCTGGCCACAAGTTGGATAGTTCATTTTAAACATAGTGTCTAGTGAGTGCAACTGCTGCATTTGTTCACCCTTTGTGCCTCCATTTCTGTGGCTATATTCTTATTTACAAATTAAGGATCACTTTAGTGTGAAACAAAGACAGACTGGTTTTGCTCTGTGATCTAAAGGCCATTATGTAACAGGCCTCTTTGTCCCCAGAAGAGAAAGGCCTGAGGAGCTGCATCCATTATGCCCAATGGCTCTATGGTAGAGTGCTTGCCTTGCATGAGGGAATCCTTGGCTTTTTATTCCAGCAGCACCACAAAACGAAAAGGAGAAAAAAGAAAATCTGCTGGGCAATGGTGGCTCACATTTATAATCTAGCTACTCAGGAGGCTGAGATCTGAAGATGGCGATTAGAAACCAGGTTAGGCAGAAAGTACAAGATTCTAATCTCCAATTTGCCACCAAAAAAGCAGGAAGTGGAGTTGTGGCTCAAGTTTTAGAGCACAGCCTCGAACAAAAAAGCCAAGAGAGAACATAAGGCCCTGAGTTCAAGCCCCATTACCAGCAAATGAGTAAACACACATACATGTGTTACCACACACACACACACACACACACACACACATAAATTGGTCCACTGTGAATCTGCTGACCCAAAATGTCTACCAACTGATGTTTTACTAAACAAAACATGGTAAGTATCCATATGCTACACTATTACAAGACAGAAGTAGAGTTGGGCACCAGTGGCTCACACTTGTAATCCTAGCAACTCAGGAGGCTGAGCATCATGGTTTAAAGGTAGTCCAGGAAGGAAAGGCTGTGAAACTCTTATCTTCAATACACCACTAGAAAACTGGAAATGGCACTGTGGCTCAAGTGGTAGAGCACTTGCCTTGAGCTGAAGAGCTGAGGGACAGCACCCAACAGAGTTCAAGCCCCATGACTGACCAAAAAAATAAACAAGCTGGGCGCTGGTGGCTCACGCCTGTAATCCTAGCTACTCAGGAGGCTGAGATCTGAGGATCGCGGTTCAAAGCCAGCCTGGGCAGGAGAGACCGTAAGACTCCTATCTCCAATAAACCACCAGAAAACCGGAAGTGGCGCTGTAGCTCAAGTGGTAGAGCGCTCGCCTTGAGCTGAAGAGCTGAGGGACAGCGCCCAGGCCCAGAGTTCAAGCCCCATGACCGACAAAAAAAAAAAAAAACCATAAGCTATAGGATCCCATTTATATGAAATACCCAGAATAGGCAGTTCTATGTAGAGGGAAAGGAGATTGGGACTACCAAGGGCTGGGAGAATCAGGAAGTTAGACCATAGAAAAAACCTAGGGTTTCTTCCTGGCTTTTGGTGGTTAATTAGAGATAAGAGTCTCACAGACTTTCCTGCCCAGGTGGCTTCAAACCACGACTTCAGATCTCAGCCTCCTGAGTAGCTAGGATTATAGGCATGAGCCACTAGCAGGAAAAGACTTATTAGCTCATAGTTTTCAAAAGAGTAAATTGGCTAAATATGTATATTTTTGAGAATCAAACTGAGCACAAAATATAAAAGACAGCAAAAGCAGAATGAGTATATAAAAGCTTCCTTCCATTTAGGAAGTGACAGAGCAAACAGGCCTGCCACTGAGAAATTATCATAGACAAACCTCAAATCCTATCTGTTTCTCAACTGTGTTCTTCAAAAAGCATTTTTTGTTGTTGTTGGTTGTGTGGCTTAAACTCAGGGCCTAGTCTTTGTCCCTGAGTTTCTTTATGCTCTAGGCTAGCGTGCTAGAGACCACTTGAGCCACAGTACGGCTTTTGGCTTTTGAGTGGTTAACTGGAGATAAAGTGTCTCGTGGGGACTTTTCTGCTCACACTGGCTTTGAACCACAATTCTCAGATCTCAGCCTCCTGAGCAGCTAGGATTACAGGCTTAAGCTACATGTGCCTGGCTCAAAAAACTTTTTCTTTTTGTGCCAGTAACAGGGCTTGAACTCAGGACCTGAGCACTGTCCCTTAACTTTTTCACACAAGACTAGTACTCTACCACTTGAGCCACCTTTACGCCTGGCTTTTTATTGGTTAATTGGAGTTAAGAGTCTCATGGAATTTCTCCCTGGACTGGCTTCAAACTGTGATCCTCAGATCTCAGCCTCCTGATAGCAAGGATTATAGGCATGAACCATGGCACCCAGCCCCCAATAGCTAGAGTTTCCCAAAACTCATTTTTGTCTTTTTCAATTCCTACTTTTATATTTATTACAAAAATATAATTATAGCTGGGTGCTGGTGGTTCATGCCTATAACCCTAGCTACTTAGGAAGCTGAGATCTGAGGATCATAGTTCAAAACTAGCCCAAGCAGAAAAGTTGGTGAGACTCTTACCTCCAATTAAACACTAGAAAACTGGAAGTAGAGTTGTGGCCCAAAGTGGCAGAGTGCTAGCCTTGAGCAAAAAGAGCTCAGGGACAGTGCCCAGGCCCTGGGTTCAAGCCCCGTGACTGACAAAAACTAAATTAAAAATAAAATATATAAGCCAGGTGCCAGGGGCTCACACTTGTAATCCTAGCTACTCAGGAGGCTGAGATCTGAGGACAGTGGTTTGAAGCCAGCCCAGGCAGAAAAGTCTGAGACTCTTATCTCCAATAAACTACTCAGAAAAATCCAGAAGTGGTGCAGTGGCTCAAGTGGTAGAGTGCTGTCCTTGAGCACAAAGGAGCTTAGCAACAGTGCCAGGCTCTGGGTTCAAGCCACAGGCCCGCGAAAATAAATTTTTAAAAATATATGTACATACACACACATATATACATATACACTATAAATAATTAGCATCTTAACTCATCATCAATCTTTCATTACATGTTAAAGTGCAGTGACCTGCCCCCCCATCCCTACCTAATGAAGTGATATATTTTTCTCTTTCTACTAGGATTGTTGAACTCTATTTGAAACCAATAGGGTATACTGCTGTCCAAGAACAAAGCATGATTTTGTGTTGGACATGATGACAGTCCCTTATCTGCCAAGCCCTATTTCTAGTCACATTCCAGCTTATCAAAACCAAGAGACCCACATTCACACATACTTCAGTGACCATGGGCTATGTTTCGCCTTCACTCCCCATACATCCTTCAGCTCCTGAATGGCAGGTGACAGAGATTAATATCAGGGGAGATTGAAGACAAGCACTGGCCTTGGCACACAAAAGGCTTCACTCCAATACTATCCAATGGATGTGGACTGCATTTACTTACCCAGTTCTCATCTATTATTCCAATATTGTATTTGTCTTCCTCACATGGTTCAGTGTGTTGCTTCTGCTCAGCATAAAACTCCTGGAGAGCTGCTAAGGCGTGGGAAGAAAGCTGGGGAGTATCCTCATCTTCCGAATCACTCATCTCACCAAGTACAGGTCACCTGCAGCCTGTAGGTCAAGGAGTAGATGGATATGTTGAGGGGACTTGTTTCCCCTTCCCATCAAATAGCGAGGAAAAATTTGAGCTCACAGGAAGTGACCTCTGCACAGAAAACATACATATTGAAAACTTCTGGGATCCAATACCTGTAAGAGGCTTCTACTGAACAGTTCAACAGATGCAGGCTTTCCCTTTATGTTCAGTTTTCACAAAGGTCATTTTCATATGTGTTATTTATTACATGAGGAAATACTCACCATAAATGTCTAAAAAAAAAACAATTTGGGCTGGGAAGGTGGCTCAGTGGTAGAGCGCTTGCCTTGCAAGCATGAGGCCCTGGGTTCAATTCCTCAGCACCACATTAAAAAGGAAAAAGAAAAAAGCCGGAAGTGGCGCTGTGGCTCAAGTGGTAGAGTGCTAGCCTTGAGCTGAAGAGCTGAGGGACAGCGCCCAGGCCCACAGTTCAGGGCCCATGACCATACCCCCCCTAAATAAATAAATAAATAAATAAAAACAATTTGCTTCTTTCTGGTACCCCCATGGCCCCGTGCAGACACTTCATAGTTAATTCTCTAAACAGGGTCTTATTATGTGTTCAAGCCACTAGAACAATGTCTCATGGGTGTCAGTGGTAGATATAAAAGATCAAGTCAAAAGGGAAGTATGCAAAAAGAGTAAACAGATGGAGAGACAAAAGGAAGGTGTTTCTGCAGGCAGTGATGGTCAGGCACAATCATCTCTTTTTGTGGTTCTACCTAGTTTGCCACACTGGGAAGTGAAGGCCCAGTCCTTTAGTTTGCCAAGTATGCCAAGCATCCGAACAACAACTAGAAGTACAAGAGAGTCCCACAACCACACTCATATTCAATCATTTGCTAGAAAGAGAGCTAGTGAAAACAATTATTCTCCTACATCTTTTTTTTTTTTTTTTTGGGGGGGGGGGGTGGTCAGTCGTAGGGCTTGAACTCTGGACCTGAGCACTGTCCCTGAGCGTTTTAGCTCAAGGCTAGTGCTCTATCACTTGAGCCACAGTGCCATTCCAGTTTTCTGGTGGTTAATTGGAGGTAAGAGTCTCAGGGACTTTCCTGCCTTGGCTGGCTTTGAACTACAATCCTCATAGCTCAGCCTCCTGAGTAGCTAGGATTACAGGCGTGAGCCACCAGCACCCAGCTTCTCCTACATTTTTTATGGAGAGAAGACAAACGAGAACTAGCCAAAAGAGGAGATGTAGAAATCTATGAGGTTCCCCAGGCACTTGGTATCCAAATATCCATGGGCAACCATATTCATGGACCACTGCCCAACGAGAAGCTCCCCTGAGTCTCTGTTCAACTTTCACTGAGGGTTCATTCTGTCATAATTCTTTTCTAATAAACTTTCCTACCACTTTTACTATGTTAGTTTCTTGTCTGAATTCTTTTTCCTGATGTAAGAATCTGAGGCTTATTTAGATGCCCTAAATTTCTGGTAACATATTTGGTGTACTGGCCAGGAAGTTAAGGATTAAGAACATCTTTTTCTGACTTGGGTTCATATAGACAATTTGTGTTTAGAGATCACCACCTAGGAGCCAGGACAAAGGCCAGACATCTCTTTACTTGAAGTCAAATTACTTTTACTACACAGGTACCAAACACATTTCTAAACCAGCAGTTATCTAAGAGCAGAAAAACAGCCTCTAAATTTGCTTTCTAAAAACATTACATCCAGGGGCTGGGAAGGTGGCTCAGTGGTAGAGCGCTTGCCTTGCATGCCAGAGGCCCTGGGTTCGATTCCTCAGCACCACATAAGCAAAAAGAAAAAAGCCGGAAGTGGCGCTGTGGCTCAAGTGGTAGAGCGCTAGCCTTGAGCTGAAGAGCTGAGGGACAGCGCCCAGGCCCAGATTTCAGGCCCCATGACCAGACCCAAAAAAAAACAAAAAACATTACATCCACTGGGTGCCAGTGGCTTATGTTTAATGCCTACTTACTCAGGAGACTGAGATCTGAGGATACTGGTTCAAAGCTGGCCCAGGCAGACAAATCTATAAGACACTTATTTAAATAATAGGGGTTAATTATATAATTATAGATTAAATAATAAATATTATTTAAATAATATTTATTATATTTTAAGTAGGTACACAAAGGAGTTACCATTCAACAAAGCATTTTATGAATACAATGTGTTTTGGTCAATGTCACCTCCTTTCAACATTTTCATACTTCCCTCTCCAAGACTCCAATTTAACAGAAAATTTTAAAAAGTTGGAAGTGTAACTGTGGCTCCCTTGGAAGAGTGCCTGCATTGAGCAGGAAGCTAAGTATTAGTACCTAGGTCCTAAGTTCAAGTCCCAGTACCAGCACAAATATAAAAAACAAAAACAAATTTTAAAAAATGCATATAAGGGCTAGGAAGGTGGCTCAGTGGTAGAGCACTTACCTTGCATGCCTGAGGCCCTAGGTTCGATTCCTCAGCACCACATAAGCAAAAAGAAAAAAACTGGAAGTGGCACTGTGGCTCAAGTGGTAGAGCGCTAGCCTTGAGCTGAAGAGCTGAGGGACAGCGCCCAAGCCCAGAGTTCAAGTCCCACAACCAGACCCCCCCAAAAAAATTTTATATATATAATAAAATAAAATAAAATAAAAATGCATATAAGCTGGGCACCAGTGGCTCACGCCTATAATCCTAGCTACTTAGGAGGCTGAAATCTGAGGATCGCGGTTCAAAGCCAGCCCGGGCAGGAAAGTCCGTGAAACTCTTATCTCCAATAAACCACTCCGAAAACTGGAAGTGGCACTGTGGCTCAAGCGGTAGGGCACTCACCTTGAGCTGAAGAGCTGAGGGACAGTGCCCAAGCCCAGAGTTCAAGCTCCACAATCGACCAAAAAAAAAAAAAAAAACACGCATATAAATGAAATGCATATAAATGAACAAAGAATCAATAAAGGTCATTGGAAGATTCCTCCTGCTGGAAGGACTGTGTGGTACAAGCCTGGACAAGCACCTGAAAGCAAAAAGGACTAGAATTATGGCTTAAGTGACAGAGTGCTGGCCCTGAGTTCAAACTCCAGTACTGCCAATAAATAAAGATAATGAAAAAAAAATGATCTGAGTAATAAATTAGACAAAGCTGAAGAGCACAAGAGTAATCAAGGTGTGAAATTGCTATTGAACAAATCATGATGTTTGGAAAGTATGGAAGAAGCCTTCTGTGGTACAGATGATGGAGAAATTGAAATACCCTTTAGAAGTAGGTAACCTGAAGAGTGAAGAGGATGAATGCTAGTCAAAGAAATGGGAGAGGAAAAAAGATTTTCAAAAGTCAACACTCATGTCTATAATCCTTGCTAATCAGGAGGCTGAAATCTGAGGATTGAGGTTTGAAGCCAGCCCACTCAGGAAAGTTTCTGTGAGACTTATCTCCAATAAACTACTCAAAAAAGCTGAAAGTGATGCTGTGGCTTAAGGACAGCACTCAGGCCTGAGTTCAAGCTAAAGAATAAAGAGAAGGCATGAACAGCCTCTAGAGAAGAAAAAAAATGGTGACAGGTGAAGCTGCACTTACACTGACTGGCAACTTTCCATCAGCAACACTGGCATTAGTAAGCAATGCGGTAGCGTCTTCAACATTCAGAGAAAATTATTTTGAACCTAAATTTTAAACTATCAGTATTTAAATGATGCTTAAATAAAGACATCTTCAAGCCTTTCAAGCTTTTAGAAAATTTATCTGCTAAAATTTTTATGAAAAAGTGACTCAAAGATGTATCCCATATGAAAAAAAAGGGGGTGGAAAGGGGTGGTAAGAAGATAATGAGATTCAAGGTGTGGGGGGGGAAAGGGGAAAAACTCAAAGCATGAAAATGGAGGAACAGCAAGTAATGGCTTGAGCTTCCTAGTTATCGGAGAGGTAAAAGTTGCTAGACCAGAGGTAAAGAAGAGACTCAGGAGAGTTTTCAGAAGGGAAGGTGATAGCTACAAAGCACAGAATTGAGGAAATACCCAAGGATGACTTGGATATTTTTAATTGATTTGATTATATATGAGAAGGAAGAGGAAGAAGGAAAGAATTCTGAAGTAGGAAAGATACAAACTACCTCCTAGAATAAGAAAAGAGATCTTATGTGGACTTAAAGAAATTGCCAGCCAGGCACTGGTGACACAAGCCTGTAATCCTACCTATTCAGGAGGCTAAGATCTAAGGATCACAGTTCTAAACCAGCTCAGGAAAGAAAGTCAGTAAGACTCATTATCTTCAATTAGCCACCAGAAAGCCAGAAGTGGAGCTGTGGCTCAAAGTGGTAAGGTACTAGCCTTGAACAAAAGAGCTTAAGGACAGCACCCAGGCCTTGAGTTCAAGTGCATGACAAAAAAAAGAAGAAGAAGAGGAAGAAGAGGAAGAAGAAGAGGAGGGGGAGGAGGGGAAGGAGGGGGAGGGGGAGGAGGAGGAGGGGGAGGAGGGGGAGGGGGAGAAGGAGGAGGGGGAGGGGGAGGAGGAGGAGGGGGAGGAGGAGGAGGAGGAGGAGGAAGAAGAAGAAGAAGAAGAAGAAGAAGAAGAAGAAGAAGAAGAAGAAGAAGAAGAAGAAGAGGAGAAGAAAATATTCCTTAGTTATGTGATTTTTGGATTCTGAAAATAAAAAGTTGGTGAAGTTTCAGGTAGTAAATCAAATCCAGGGGAAAGATGTATGGAAAGAAATCAAGCCACTGGTACTCCTTGTTTGACCTTATATTTGACCTCTCCCTCAAAACTGTTAGTATGTCATACTCCATTTTGACTTAACAACCTTCATCTTAGGTCCTCAGCCCTTTTCCTGAAATTAGGTGGCCAGACCAGGCCTGGCCACAATTATTTAACTCCCACCCCCGTGCCAATAGCCTCCATCTACAGCAGCAGAATGCCTTTGGCCCAGACCTACCCTCAACTGTTGCAACCTCACCTTGGCTACATGCTATCTTTGGCTCCAGCTGCAACTGCAGAGTGAGTATTCCCTGCCCCTAGTATAAAGATACCCCTCTGCACAAAGAC